ATCGCAACGATATATCAAGTATGTCAGTGCAAATAAGATCGAGCGAAAATGCTTTGGGCCAATATCTGCAAAAGAATGCCTCCGTAGATCACCCAAAACCAGAGGTTCAGGTGTAGGCGTCTGTTCTGGGGTTATGAGTGCTATAAAGGAGACTTATCCTACTTGGTTAATTACATTTGTGGGGTTGCCCAAGAATACTCTTGATCCAAAGGAGTTTTCTTTGTCTGAGAGTGACAATTAGCACAGGGCTATCAAAGGAGGTTATCTCACAGAGGCCTGACGAATGTGTGTGATGTGGAGGCAGTGACCCAAAAGGATGGGCGTGTCGAGGCGGCAGGGGTCCAACGAATGAGTGTATCGTGGAGGCTGTAGCTGAAATAATGAGTGTGCTGAAGAGGTAGGGGCCCGAGGAATGGGTGGGTTGTGGAGGTCGTGACATAAAAGGATGGGTGTGTCGATGAGGCAGAGGCTCGAGGAATATGTGTGAACGTGCGGGTAGCAGGATGGGCGTGCCTATCAGGTAGGGGTCCGAAGGATGTAATCCTCACCGGGGAGAATCACACAAGTGGGATGAGTGTGTGGGTGGACACTCAAAATACTACCCAAGCAGAAAATGATGACCATGAAAAATGTCATACAACACATAAAACAATAGAAATGTTGTGCTCGACCGCCTAGGGCATAGGATGCAATTAGAGAGAATTATACATTACCCCAATAATGACCACACACATTTGCAAATGAACATGTCAAATGATGCAGCAACATACAAACATACAAATGTTTAGTCGCCTAGGGTATAATCTCCTTTAACAGTTCTATGAGATAACCTCATTTGAAAGCTTTGTGCTAGTTATCTCTCTCAAGTAAGCAAAACTCCTTTGGATCAAGAGTATTTTTGAGCAACCCCCAAGATGTAATTAACCAAGTGGAATACATGCTCTTGGGAGCATACATGACCATGGAACAGACCCCTACACCTGAACCTCTGGTTATGAGTTGTCTACGTAAGCATTTTTTGGTGGAAATTGGTCTAAGGTGGTTTTGCCTGATATTGTTTGGGCAGACATACTTGATATATCCTTGCGACGTTTATCGCGCGTATGCTTTCCACATTTTACCTTTTCTTTTGTTTGTTGTTTTATCGTATGTACCTCCTTTCTGGTTTCTCCCTTCTCCAGGTCATTCATATGACCCGGAAAAGGAAGTATACGATGATCAACAGACTGACTCCTTCAAAAATAAATAAGAAAAATAAACAAAAACAAAGAAGTCTTCGTGCTTCTCCTAATTGACTGACCCAACTTACCTTTTTATATACAAGTGGTTGTCTAGTACGCCGAAAGTGTTAGAAGACACCCCAACCAAGACGAGGTGTAAGTCTTTTTTGTTTGGAGTGTTTCTAGCTTTGTAGTTGAACATTCTCCTCTTTCCTATTTTGAGGCATAATTGCCACTACGACATGTGTGTCCCATCTCTTGGAGCTTCAGCTTATAGTCATAGGATAGAGTTTCTTTCCTTTGACCATAAGATTGCTGCGGTCCCCGGTAGATGAAGCAGTTCACAGATTGTTGATCGGGGATCTCAGACATGTTGGGCCGACTACCTTCACGATTAGGTAGACTCGAGGTCTCAGTGGTTTGGGATGATGGGCATGTGGTACCCTGACTCGGCTACCTCTACCTTTTAGGGATTACTCCTCCCCTCCTTCAACTACATCTGTTGAGGCCTGTCACTTTTTTTGCCTTCATTGGCATCATCTTGACGACCCGATTGCCAATGAGATACCACACTTTTGTGATACGACGATTTGTTCTTTACTCTTATGACCCGGATGTCCTTTATCGTATTATGATCCCCCATCGGGTTGATACTGTTATTTTGCAGGCTTTGTATGCCGATGAGCCATTACCCATCTAAAATGGGAGAGACTCACTCTTTGCTCGTTAGCTAAGCGAGAGCTTAGAAACATCAAAGCATTCACCCTATGAGGTAACCTCCTTTGATAGCCTTGTGCTAATTGTCACTCTCAGGCAAGCAGAACCCTTTTGGATCAAGAGTACTCTTGGGCAATGTCGGCACTATTTTTTTTTT